CCCCAAAACCCCAAAACCCCAAAACCCCAAAACCCCACTATACAATATAAAAGCCAGAATATGCAAATAAAACTTATGAAATCAAGCTTAAATTAATAGAATTGTTAGGTATGAGTATATAAAGAATACTTTTCAATCAGAGAAATCATAAACTTCATCCTTGATCTTATTTTAATTTTCAGTTTCCTCATATTATTATAAATTTTCCTCTTGAGACTTTTGAGATGTAACCACTTTTAACTTATTCTTATTTTTTTCATGCTTTTTATCATCTTTAGCTTTCTCAGAATCTTTTAATCTAGTTTACTCCTATTTTTAGATCGGTTAATTTTTCTCTCTCTTTGTTTTTGACTTAGATCTATGAGAATTATCAAGTGTATTTTCATGCTAGACCTTTTTGGAAGGTTTCATTTCTATGAAATTTTCATTATCAGTCTTAGACTTTTTCTTATTCTCTTTAGTTTCCTTTGAGGATTCCTAGAATTTCCTATTCATCATCTTAACCTTTTAGACGATTGTTGGACTTGCAAGACTAGTCACAAGACTGTCAGATTCTTTCTGTATTTTCTCTAGTTTAAGCTACTAGAACTTTTGTCTTCCAGTTGTAAATGATTCTTACTTTTTCATACTTTCATCATGCACTGATTAATTTGCTATTGATAAATTTTCTACAATTCTTTTATCTATAACAGACTTTTGACTACTTTTAAGGATCTTAGTGAGAGACTTGTGTAGTAAAGTCTCATCGTCTATTACACTAGTCTTTTTCATATAGTTAGCTTTAGTTCTTACAGTTGCTCCTTCAAGTATATTTTTTCTAAAAAATGGTAATAATTCTTTCTATTCTTTACTCAGAAGTAGACTAGCAATTGAATCACTTTATCTTATTTACTAGAGATTTCTTACAATGTCAAATTCTTTTCTCAATTTCTTTACACCCTCTCTATAAAGGTAGTCCAAGGAATGATGGTTTTTAATTCCTCCACAAATTAGAGATTTGATAAAATTGATAAAGCTGTATTTAAATGGATGGAATGCTTTCAAGTTTTAACTCAACTGAGTAGCTTTTACTGTAAAGTTGTTTGAATCAGATGATTTTTAGCCATTTTTTATTAGGTCTCTTGATGAAGATTCTAAATCATTGGGGTTTGCAAAATCTAAATCAGTTTTTAATTTATCTTTATTTCTCCTATTCTTTATTGACTCCTAACTTTTTACAATATCTGACTAATTTTAATGTCTGTAGAATATTTTTTTAACAATGGAGATTTCAAATAATGTTTTTTAAACCTTCATTGTTAGAAATTTGAAAATTATCATAATAATGGAAGCGAAACCACCAGTGTTGGTAAGAGCATCTATTAAGTTGTAATTCTTACGAGTAATGACAGAGGTATTCTCACCCATGAAAAATTGGATAGTCATCCAAATATTCCCTCTTATCTTTGAATTATCATAATCATGAGATACAGATGCATAAGTTAAGTTCTTCTAATTCATAGATGCAGCTAGCCATGAGTCTTAAATGATAGCAAAGTTTTTAGAAAGGGAAAAGGTGTAGTATTTATAGTCAGTTGCTGGATTAAAAGTATGAGTTTAAATAGTATATTTAATCGGGGATGCCTCAAATTCAGAGACATCAAGATATTGATATAAGTAAGCAAACAAAATGCTAACATCTTTTGCTATTGCATCTGTTTCTTCTCTCCCTTTGCAAGTTAGGTCTGGAAATAGTTTGCTAAGTGATGGTTGATGACAGTATGTAAGTTCCATCCTTACTCTTTGAGTGTTAGGTGCCCCTTTACTTTACAATGTAAATTTATCTTAAGTTGAGCACCACCATTTAGTATTGTCAGTCTTCGATTGATTTGCAAATCTAGTTTAAAGACAGGAGGTAATATTGTATTCGTCAGCTCCTAGTAGGACTGGCAGTTAAATGTTCGTTGAATCTGGATTATTAAAGGATTTGAAATTGTACATTCTTATTGAAAAGTATTGATGCAGATTAGTAACATTGGGATTTGCTCCTCCATAACTTAATTAGATTCCATAATCAAATTCATTCAATGTGAAATTATAAGGGGTCTCATCAACGTATAGATTCCTTTAGTAAGAAGTATTAGTGATGGTATAGTCAGAGTTTTATATAATCTTCAGGATCATAAATAAGAAATAAACTGCCAAGCTAATCATAGAGAAGATTGTCATAAGGCCTCCAAATGTGGACTTGTAAGTTTATTCATTTTTGTATGTAAAACTTATTGGATGTCCAAAACGATCGATTTTCCTGATTTATCTCCCAAAAAATGAAGTATATTTGCAAAAGCCTCGGTGATCTGTTGTTGGATTGTCTGAACTCATTATAATTATTATACTTTAAATGATTGATGACTAATTTTAAGAAATTTTATTTAAATCTATTGAGAAAATATAAACAAAAATAATAAGTTCTCTGTCATCGTTAATACACCTATTATAACAAATATATCAGGAAAAATATGTAAATTAACTCTCAAATCACTTATTCTTCATTTTATCTGACATTATGGGGTTTTGGGGTTTTGGGGG